AGTGATATTCCTCCTCTCTAAAACTTCTAGGTTTTGAGTTGCCTGGAACTGTCGCAAAACAATGCAGGCAAAACGTCAGGAAAAATGCCTCTAGAACATGGTTCTATAGCCTGAAAAAACCCACAAGAACCTAATACTCCTCTCTAAGAGAGTTCTAGGTATTGAGTTGCCTGGAACTGTCATAAAGCGATACTCCTCCCTAAGAGAGTTCTAGATATTGAGTAGCCTGGAACTGTTCGTAAAGCAATACTCCTCCTCCCTAAAAGAGTTCTAGGTATTGAGTTGCCTGGAACTGTCATAAAGTGATATTCCTCCTCCCTAAAAGAGTTCTAGGTATTGAGTTGCCTGGAACTGTCGTAAAGTGCTATTCCTCCTCTCTAAAACTTCTAGGTTTTGAGTTGCCTGGAACTGTCATAAAGTCATCTGCCTCTCTGACTTTATGACTGTTCCAGGCAACTAAATATCTAGAACTTTTAGAGAGGAATATCACTTTAAAAAGTCATCTTCCCCTCTGAGCCCCTGGTGGTGCAGTGGGTTAAAAGCCCTGTGCCGGCAGGACTGAAGACCAACAGGTCCCAGGTTCAAATCCGGGGAGAGGTGGATGAGCTCCCTCTATCAGCTCCAGCTCCTCATGCGGGGACATGAGAGAAGCCTCCCACAAGGATGATAAAAACATCAAATCATCCAGGTGTCCCCTGGGCAACGTCCTTGCAAACGGCCAATTCTCTCACTCCAGGAGTCACTCCTGACATGACCAAAAAAAAAATCTTCCTCTCTAAGAGAGTTCTAGGTATTGAGTTGCCTGGAACTGTCTTAAAGTGATATTCCTCCTCTCTAAAAGTCATAGAATCATAGAATCAAAGAGTTGGAAGAGACCTCATGGGCCATCCAGTCCAACCCCCTGCCAAGAAGCAGGAACATTGCTTCTGGATATTTTGTTGCCTGGAACTGTCCTAAAGTCATATTCCTTTTACAGGCAGTTCTAGGTATTGAGTTGCCTGGAACTGTCTTAAAGTGATATTCCTCCTCTCTAAAAGTTCTGGATATTTTGTTGCCTGGAAATGTCATAAAGTCATATTCCTCTTGAAGACAGTTCTAGGTATTGAGT